GAATCAGTTGACTCGATATTGATCTTCGACTGAAATTATTCAAAAAAAATAGCATCCCAGATTACCGTTCCCTCATTTTCCCCTTCCCAACTCAAAAATCACTTTCAAATGACCATTATCCTCAAGCGCCTGATCAAAATATTTCAAATCAAGTGAAATTTTCCACCAAGCAAATCAAATGAGTGATCAAAAAAGTGATCAGAGCAGTGATCGATCGATCAGTACTCACCCCTTGATCAGTAAACGTCCAATCGACAGTCTCATCGCCCTCGTCTTCACCTTTCATCACCATACTATCGACGGTATGTCTCGAGAGCGGCCGGAATCGGCGCTGCATCCGATGCGCTTTCAAACTGGGCGCACTCACCATGTCCATATAGCAAGCCTGATTCGTGTTGTACGGATCATCCCTCAAATTATTTCATTGCGACCTGAATTTGAAGCAGCCAATGACCTGAATTTGAAAACAATGGCCTGAAATCGCGTCCCAATCTTGCCCCTATTAGCTCCTAAAATCCTCCAATTACTAGCCTAGCCTAAATTTGAAGCAGCCAGTGACCTGAATTTTGAGCCAGTGACTGAATTTGAAGCCAGTGACCTGAATTTAAAGCAGCCAATGACCTGAATTTCAAAAAAAAGGCCTGAAATCGCGCCCCAATCTTGCCCCTATTAGTTCCTAAAATCCTCCAATTACTAGCCTAGCCTAAATTTGAAGCAGCCAATGACCTGAATTTGAAGCAGCCAATGACCTGAACTTGAAAACAATGACCTGAATTTCAAAACAATCGCCTGAAATCGCACCCCAATCTTGCCCCTACTAGCTCCATATTAGGCCCGGGGTCCCTCTCGACCCCAGGATCCCTCAATTAAGAAAATCTTTTTAAAAACTCACAGAACTGCCCATGGAATTTGATCACTCATCTCCACCACTAGATCTGCACACGTCTGCAAGGTCTTATTATTGAATATCTTTGGCTCGATTGATCCCGAATGCGGATCGAATTTAATGTATTTGGCGAAATCGCAGTAGGCCAACGGCTGCGGACTCGGTGGCTTCTTATCGAATGCACAACACGGTAGGAGACGTTCGAATTGACTGCAAACGGAAAAAAATTTTTTCCCAAAAACCAACGGAACAAATTTTTTCAAAATTTGGCAAAAAATTTCCAATGGAATGGAGTAAATCCAAAAAAATCAGCAAAAAAATTTCAGCAACTCAAAATCAATGAATATCGCCACAAAAATGGAGTAATTTCCCAAAAAATAAGCTTCCTCTGGGGATGGATTTGCCCATTGAATGCCCAAATCCAATACAGGGTATTGGATTTGCCCACTGGATTTACCCACCAGGGAATGTGCCTTGAATCAGCAGGCCTTCAGCCGAACGGGTAAGGGCATGCTGCTGATTCAAGGCTGATCTTGATTCATGCTGATCTTGACTCCTGATCTTGAGATCAATAATTTCAATATCCAGTTCAAATTCGTAGCCAAAATCAACTAACGCTTTGCCGTAGAATCCACGATAGTAGAACATATCGATGATCGAATTGATCTGTGATCGATAGCTGATCAATCCATTGCCAATCGCCAAACCAACCAAATTCACGTCGAGCATCTGCTTATTCTAAAGCAGAAAGTATACATCAGGCAAGGACGACTATACTGAGACTTCGGACCGAAATACTGACTCAAAACAGTGGCTCACAGGGGGGTGAAAATACCCCCTATAGGCCACTTAAAAGGCTCGAGGGGGGTGCTGAATTAAAGGTGGTGGTACGGAAGGGGGGGAGGTATTTCTAGGTAGTACCAACGGTTAAAAAAACCTTAAAACGTCGAATCAGCTCGGCGGCCAACGTCGGCACGTAGACACCAGCATAGGATTCGCCCGTAATAAAAAATTCCCGATTTTTATATTCTGGAAATCTATCGAAGAAGACTTTCAACGCGTCGGCATTGTCTACGGCAGTCTGAAATGTAAAAAAAAATACGTGGTTCACAAAAATTTTCGCCCAATTGGGAGCGCCAGCGCCCAAAATCCTGGTTCACTCGGACTCGTCGCCCAATTGGGACGCCAGCGGCCAAAATCGTGCTACACTCGGACTTGTCGCCCAACTGGGACCGCCAGCGGCCAAAACCTCCGCTCAAAACACGATTTTTAACGCCAAATTCAGGTCAGCAGTCACATTTCAGGTGGAATTTTTTTTTAAAAATCAGCCAAAAAATAATTAGGCAAATGATGGATAAGTGGCAAACCGCGGTATCATTGTATCCTCCTTTCTGATGC